CTTCTTCTTCTTCTTCTTCTTCTTCTTCTTCTTCTTCTTCTTCTTCTTCTTCTGTTCAGTTTCTTGTAACCACAGTACTTTCTTAGAAAAAGAAGAAAAAAAATAATTTGAAAACCTTGCAACGGAGTAACCGTCTTATCGTAGCGAAGAGTAATATTATATTAAGCCTTAAAACAAAAAAGGAAAAAGAAAGAATCCCGTAATACCATTAGAAACGGCTTGACCTGGATTCGCGACGGGTTTCACAATTTTAGTTTGCACCAGTGGAGCAAGATCATCCGGGTTTCTTGCGGAGAAAAAAGTAAACCGAAGTTTTTACTTTTTATCTCAAGCCAGTTGAAGCAAAAACATTCCAGACATTCTCTGCAGCACAAAATTGTGGTTACTAAAGCTAAACAGCTGTCACAGGTGAGGCGAATAAAACATAAACAATACTGTTTCGAATAATCGCAAAAACAGTTTTTTAAAACAACATACAAACAAACAAAAAACAAAAACAAAACAACTTTTCTTGGCACGCAGGCCTACAACTTAACTACACACAAAATAATAATATTATGCCCATAATACATCTTTTTGTAGTGCCAGAGAAGCCACAGACATCGGCGACTATGGTTCTCCATTCATTCCTTTGCTTAGACGCTCTCAAAATAGCTACATAACCCTGATCTTTCCTCGTCACCCATCTGTTTAGGCTCTCCAAAGTAGGTTGCTCTAGGTCGCGTGCACATGTCTGTCTTATTTTCAGTAGTGTACCTATCCAAACGTTCTCTGGCGTGCAGCGGATTTATAAACCCACCCATCCTTTTATTACATGTAGGCCTACAACTAATAAGCCCCCGCCCCTCTCCCCCCTCTCTCTCTCTCCACCCAAAAATAATAATTGTATAAAAATAATCGTTATTTTGAATTTGATATTAAGCAAAGAACCGATCCACGTCACCATAATAATTTAAGTTCTATGAATTATTTGTTCTACAGGGCACAGGCTGACGTGTCTTTAGGCCATTCCCAAAGGGGGGATATTAACCTGTTCTTATGCACAGTAAAATTGTAAATGGGCTGATTTATCAATGCCATGCTCATATTGTGCTGGAACAACATGGGGGGATGTGCTGCTTTTTTCCCCTCATCCTTACTATCGTCATTTTTCTTATACTTCTTTTGTATGTTTGTCAATCTCTTGTGAACTACTATTTCCCGGGTGCCTTGATAGTCGTAGCAGACTTTGTGCTGTTGAGTAAGAGTAAGCCTGATTCCCTGTTTGGGCTTCTCTGTTGACATCCCCCCCCCTTGGCGCCCATATGACCTTATGCACTTCCGAGCGCCGTAAACCCCTACTAAGAACAAATATTAGGAATTATTAGTGTCTCTTCCCAGCGTGTGCCCGATAGTTCCGATACAGCCTCAGTTTGTCCATCATCAGCTCCAGGCCCAGAATCAAACCGCCGATAACGAAGCCTATACCCAGTAGGTAGAAGGTGGACTGGACGTCAATGAGAGTCAGGGTTCGAGCTTCGGTCACCAGGGAGCCGCCGCAGAAACTTCGTTTGGGCCACCATGTCTTTATCCAGACTTGTAACAAACCGCTTTCGTAGATCTTCACTACTCTGTTGGACATGAAGGAAAGTGAAATCGTCATTTACTAGATATGTCAACGGGGTATTATCTTCATCTCTTTTGTCTATCCTTCTAAATAATTATCGTCACATATATTTCTTTAAAGTCGGACTATCTATTTAGAAATCATTTTATTTAAGAATATGACTTCCTTCATAATGACCTTTCGTTATTAACAGAGTAACACTAGCTTCTGTCCTTTAGCTAACCAAAGGAATGAATTAATAGAATATCAAAAAGTGTTCAATTATGGCCTCCTTTTAATAATTTTAGAGCCTTTCTTCTTTTTTTACACTTATTTTCTTTTTCACAAAATAGATTAACTGTTGCACATTTTCGTGATGTGAATTCATGTAAGTGTAAGCTAAAAATCTTTTTTCTTTAACGTTTTTACTGCTTCACAACCCACCGACTTCCCCCTTCCCACCATGCCTATTAGTCTGTATGTTGTCTCTATGTCTGTCTGTCTGTCTTTCGCCCCCCCCCCCA